ATCATGCTAATAATAGGTCTTAAAGGTACACCTTGTTTGTGGATTTTAGGTAAACCATACAGACTAGGTGTGGCCTCCCCTGGGTACAGTCTGTGGTACAGAATACGGTCAGTAGCCTTGTCCTGCTACAACATTTTCAGTCAATCTAGCAACTTATTTTTGTAACCACTTCCTGGATCTCTTTTCAGAGGTTCATAAGTGTTTAAGTCACTAAGGAGTGTCATAACTTTCTCATGATAGTCTTTCTGGTTCAAAATCACTGTGCACCTTCCTTTGTCTGCTGGGAGAATGATGATGTTTTTGTCCTTGCTAAGAGTGGTGAGTGCATCCCTCTCCGCTCTACTGATGTTGGAAGGTGGTGGTTTGGCATTGCTGAGGCAGGCTGAAACTTTGATTCTGAGCTGTTCTGCTTCAGCCTCTTTAATTTTGTTGTTGCGGATGGCTGACTCAGTGGCTGTGATCATCTCCACCAGAGGAATTCTCTTAGCGCAACCGCAACGTTTGGTGTGTTTGAAGAGAGATTTAAAAGCAGATACTTAAGTGGCCTGTCAAATGTTGATGGGCAGATTGTTCCAGAGTTTGGGGCCAATGACTGAAAAAGCCCAATCTCCTGTGAGCTTCAGCCTGGTTTTTGGTACCATCAAAAGCAGTTGGTCCCATTATCTCAAAGCCTGAGAAGGGGCATAGGGATGAAGCAGTTCGGAGAGGTATGAGGGCGCAAGGCTGTTAATGCACTTAAATGGTAGATGGTAAATGGACTGTACTTATATAGCACCTTTCTATCTTATCAATACACTCAAATCACTTTACAACACAATCTGTGCCCTCATTCATATAGCACTCTACTAGATATCTTCAAAGCTAATTGAAAGTGTCAGCAAAATAATTTAAAAATCAATTCTGATATGCACATAGAGCCAGTGAAGGGAGGACAGAACCTGTGAAATGTGCTCAAACCTACAAATTCCTGTTAATAGTCGAGCTGCAGCATTTTGGACGAGTTGGAGATGTGAAAGAGAGACCTGACTGACCCTAGGATAAAGCGAGTTACAGTAGTCCAGCCGGGTTGTAATGAATGCATGGACTAATTTTTCAAGGTCGGATCTGGACAGAACGGACTTAAGCTTTGCTATCTGCCTTAGCCGAAAGAAGTTTTTTTGAAGAACAGAGTTGATCTGTTTATTAAACTTAAAATCTGCATCTATAACTATCCCAATATTGGTAACAGACCGTTTTAGATAAGGCTGAAGAGAGTCGAGGTTTACATTCTTCCTGGCAGTGTCAGAGCTAGGGTTAAACACAATGACCTCAGTTTTCTGATCATTAAAACTCAAGAAGTTCGCAGCCATCCAAGTCTTGATGTCTTCAAGACATTTTAGCAAAGGGCGAATGGAGCAGGAATTTTTGGGTTTCAAGGGCAGATAAATCTGAGAATCATCAGCGTAACAATGAAAGGAAAGACTACGCTTCCTTAGGATAGACCCCAGGGGGAGCAGATACAATGAAAACAGAAGGGGTCCAATAATGGAGCCTTGTGGGACCCCACAGAAAAGAGGCACTGAAGCAGGTAGACTGTTTGCAACATTAACACAAAAACTCCTGTCACAGGTACAAATGGAACCATTCTAACGCTGCACCAGTAATCCCAACCAAGTGTTCTAGCCGGGATAAAAGGATCCTGTGGTCCACAGTATCAAATGCAGCGATAAGGTCAATGACTACCAGGATCACAAACTGACCAGTCTTTTGCCGGAAGAATGTCGTTGTAGACCCTAACTAAGGCTTTTTTGGTGCTGTGTAGTTGCTTAAAGTCAGACTGAAAAATCTCAAGAATACAATTTTCATTTAAGAACTCATTTAGTTGATTGAAAACTATGTTCTCCAAGATCTTAGAAATACAGGGAAGTTTGGAGATAGGTCTTAAGTTTGCACAGGTTGAAGGGTCAAATCTGGATTTTTTTAAATAAAGGAGTTACTACTGCATGTTTAAAATCATTAGGAACCTCACTTGTAGCCATACTGCTGTTTACAATGTCAAGAATAGAGGGTCCAATGGAGGGTAGGACTTGTTTAAAAAACGATGCAGGGTTTTAGTGCTTAGCGTATTCTTAGTTCATATCTTAGATCTTATTACTGTTTTTCTTTTACAATTTATTCTTTTGTTGGATGTAACTGGGACCCTGTGTACACAATTTCATTCCATCACATGTACCACATGTGGTGAGAATGACAATAAAGAAACCTTGACCTTGACCTTTAAAATGTCATGGCTACAAAATATTTCAGTTCCTTGCATTATGGTGTTTTAGAAGTTATTAATGACATTGACTTTTAGCAAAATATCTTGTAAATCAATGAATGGATTTTATATTGAGAAAGTAATTTGTAGAGGATGTGGGAGAAGTTGGGACTGTGATTGGAAGGTTGCTGGTTCAACTCCCAGTACTGACAGCATCAAAATGTGGACGGGATAGGTAAAGCATGCACACCTGCCTCCATTCTCATTTGTCCCTCTCTGTGCCCTTGAGCAAGGCTCTTAACCCCCACCATCTGCTCCCCCGGGCGCCCCAGATAGCAGCTCTCTGCTCCACACTGAGGGCTGTGGTAGCTATATGTTCTGTGGTTGTGTCAGGAAGGGCATCCGGCGTAAAAGTATTTGCCACGTCTTCGTGCGACTTAGTTCGCTGTGAGGACCCCTGAAAAAGGGAGAAGCCGAAAGAAGAAGAGGAAAAAAAACTGTATATGAACATCTAAAACGGATTTCTTTTTTAAGTCGTTCTGATTCAAGGTAGCCATCACATCTATCTTTGCAAAGCCCAAATAATCTATTACACAGTCATTTATATAGATACCGAGCTAAAGTTTGTTTCGATGAAGCTGTCACCAATCCCTAACATGTACTTGAGATGTAAACAGAGCCTTCAGTTTTAGTTTGAAACTTTTCAACATTGTTTTAAGCAGTGCATCAACTGCTTAGTGCTCTGACAGTTTCTTGTTCAAAGCATGTTTCAATGGGCTGTTTTCTATTCACCATTTCTAACCTATTTTGCTTTGTGAGATCAATTAAAATGCACATTTTTAAGTAATTTATGCACTCATGTATGCATTTTAGAAGACACTAATATACTGAAAAAATATGACACTTAAAGTGTTTTTTGTTTTGAAGAAGTTTTGATTTTCACTTCGGAAATAAATCTCATCTGATCCTGATGCATGCTCAATAATCCAGGTAGAAAAATCTAAAAAAGTTAAATCTGGTCCTCTGGACATTCAAAAAAAACAAAACAAAGCAAAACAACAAAAAATATAGAAACGCGTCGTCTCTCGTCCGAGAGACTTCCTCAGTCTGAGGTGCTGTATTCAGCTCAGTCTCTTAAATAGCACCTTCTCAGAGTGGATCAACAAGTTTGCTGCTGACAACCAAAACCAGCTGATCACATGCTCAAGAAGGACCATCAGCCTAACAATGGATCATTAGCACCTGATGGCTGTTTACTGTTCACAGAGGGCTGAGTGATACTAGCAATCACAGCATTGTAAGAGGGGGACAGTTGAACCTGGAGGCTCCACCCCTGTTTAATGATGGACGGTTTCTTTTCACAAAGATGGCCTCCTTTACTCCTCTCTCAAACCATTGTTCCTCTCTGTCCAGGATGTGCACATCTTCATCCCTGAAAGAGGTGCTATTTAAGAGACTGAGCTGAAAACAGCACCTCAGACTGAAGAAGTCTCTCGGACGAGAGACGAAACGTTTCTACATTTTTTGTTGTTTTGCTTTGTTTTGGTTTTTTTGAATGTCCAGAGGACCAGATTTAACTTTTTTAGAAATCTCATCTGACTTAAAAAATATTTAAATGTATTAGTGTTTGCTGTGCACTGGGATGTAAACTCGAGAGTGATTAGAGGATGAATTCCCATCTACCTGGCGGCGGTGCTCGAGTATCCTACCGGACGGCTGAGATCCTGGATCTTGCAGGAAATGCAGCTCGTTCCAGCATGAGGACTGGGATCATATCCTGGCACCAGCAGCTGGCTGTCCGTGGCGACAAGGAGCTCGGCAGGCTGCTGAGAGGAGCGGCCATGAACTTGGGGAAAAATTCTGCCTGTTATTCGGGTGGTCTTGTTGCCCAGGAGGACAGAGAGGCACGCTGGGTCTGGTGAACGGATTGACATCTGCCGCCAGATTCTTGGGATTTGCTGCAGGAGATCCTTCCTGCCACAGCCATCAGCATCTAGAACAACTCTTGAATGAAACCAGCATGATGAGTTACAACATTTAATTTCCCTTTGGGAGTAATAAAGTATTCTTGAATTGAATTAAAATTGACTTGAAATGTTATATAATTACCCAAATAGCTTGAAGGATAAGACTAGGGTAATTACAGAAGAGATCATGTGTGCTGCTGTTATCTTTTTGTTCTCCTTTTTGCTTTTGTTTGTCTTCAGACCAATATGACTTAAAAAATGTGAAAAGAATATTTGGAGTCAGCCCAATTCAAGATAGGTGCCTCAGCTAACTGAACACAAAAATTGCTATAACTCAACCAATTTCACAAAAGTAAACTTAAAATTAGGCACATGGCAGTAGATGATCATCATTTCCAATACACTGTGCCATATTTTTGCACGAAGTGTTGCATTTGTTCATAAGATCAGTGTCACGTCTTATTGGCTTTAGCCACTACATAAATCAATGTGACATACATTGTGCTTCATTTAGTGTGGGTGTAGCTGAGAGTCATCCTTAACATAAACGGTACAGGAAGTGCAACACGTCTCAAGAGATCTCACTGTATTTCATGTAATCACATAATATTTATAAGGTTTGACCTTTACAAGATGATTTTAGTGTAAAACCCTGACATTAAAGGTGGAGGGCAGTTACGCATTCCTTCAAGGAATGCTTAGTATTTTTTATTGTGCTGTAGTAACTTGTCACAAAAATGATGTGTGTGTGTGTGTGTGTGTGTGTGTGTGTGTGTGTGTGTGTGTGTGTACAGAGGCTGCAGAGAAGTTGTTTGACCTGGTGGACAGTTTTGCAGAAAGTGCTAAGAGGAAGGCTGCTGTTTGGCCTCTTCAGATCATCCTCCTCATCCTTTGCCCAGAGATCACACACACAATCTCTAAAGACACAGTGGAGGACAGTAAGGCCAACAAGGTGGGTGGAAAAAATCTTCAAGGAATGCTCACAAATCTCTAAGCGCAGTATTCATCAACTCCTTACTGTGCTGTTGTGTCTGCAGAAACTGTTTTTGGATAGTTTGAGAAAAGCTTTAGCTGGGCAGGGTGGGAACAAGCAGCTGATGGAGAGCGCTGCCATCGCCTGTGTCAAACTTTGTAAAGCTTCTACCTACATCAACTGGGAAGATCATTCAACCATTTTCCTCCTGGTCCAGTCCATCGTCATGGATCTTAAGGTCTGATGTTTTAAATGATTGTTTACATTATTGTTGTCCTTCTTTTGCAGCAATGAAAACTTTCTTTTGTATAACGGACACAAGTTGTGTTCTTTTTCTTTGGATTTAAAGCTCAAATTAGGCACTAAAAGTTACATTTACACAAGTAATAAACGAAAGTAAAGAAAAAAATGGTGGAAATTAAAACATGAAGAAATACATGTCAGCTTCAAACAGCTCAGAATGGTCTTTTGAGCACCCACTAATATTAATTTTCTACAAGCTAAATTTAGTTGAGATTTTTGGTATATTTTAGAAGAAATAATTAGTAGAAGCATAACAAGATTTTTTGCAACAAGATTAAAATGTTGTGAGATTTCTTGTCAAGTTAAAAGCTACAGTTCATCTGTAAAATATTCTCAAAGCTTCACTTTTTGCACATTTTATGTTATAGCTTTATTATTATTATTATTATTATTATTATTATTGTTAGTTTATTTGACAAGAACAACGCACACAAACATAGAACAGAACAAGTCTGTGACTGATGCATTGCACAAAGAGCTATAGCTATGGTTATTTCGCAACTCCAGTCTCTGGTATTTCTAAAATGATTAAATCCCCACATCCCCAAAGCTCCACACACAATACCCCAAAATGACGAGATGAAAAATGCTTGTGAATTGTTACAACGGGAGCTGGATGCAAGTCACGGATCACTGCAGGTAGCTGCTGCCAGCAGTGGGCCTCGGGCCTCCTCTCGGACCCAGGTCCGCCCCCAGCTCACGCTCCCCCCGGCCCGGACCTCCCTCAGAAGCGGCAACTCACAATATTAATAAATCAAGTAAACGTGAATTCAGTTTTACCATTTGTATTAAAATCAAGGCAGGAAACGGTTACAGTTTACAGCACTGGCCGGTTTCGGTACACAACCTGAGATCAAGAACCGGAAGGGACTGGATGTCCCATCGCATGCCAGATTTATAGGGCCTAGACTCCTCCTTCGCAGAAGGGGAACACAACCTAACCGTGTATGAGGGGGAGTGACCAAGTGTGATCTCAGTGGATCTTATGTGGTTTGATGTGTAAGGAAAATATGAGACGGTGCTTCAAAAGCCTCAGAAATAAACTCTATTCCTTGACAGATACTGAATCCCTGGGAGACTCTTTTTAGAGTTACTGGCCCAGTTTAACCCAGTCAGAACCGGGTCATAATTTCATTATAATCCCATCTCTGAGCAGATCAAAAACCCAGGGTCAGTTTAGATAAAATTACTCACAACTCCCCCTGGTTCGAGGGACCCAGAGGGTTTCCTCGAATAAACTGCCAGTTCAGTACCGCTGGATATGCAAGCAATGAATCAGTTTGTCTGTTTGAGTGTAAACTACTTCTTATATGTTGGTGGAGGATGCCTTCCGGCGTGAGATTTGTGACCTGCCCAGCTCAGGTCAAATAAAATGCCAGAGCTGATGGCTCACGTGTGACCCACCTTCAGGTCTGTTGCTTGTCTCAGCTCTCAGTATTTTGCCTATGACTCCAGCATCCTTCTAAATGTGATGCATGGCATTATGGAAACAGCCTTTGTCAGTAGTAAAATATATGATTTAATTATTGCAGAAGGCATTCTAATGCAAGAAAAGCATTCTGATGTAATAAATGTTAATCAGTCGTAGACCCTGATCTTCTCTCTTTGACTCCAAGGTGCTTCTCTAGGCATGGTCCATTTTGTCCATCTGGAAAGGAAAATGAAAAAAAACTCTGTGCCTCCCTTCTCTCATGCATTACCAAAATTATTTGCAAAGAGCGCTGCCGGTAGCCTGTCACAACAGAAAATGTGTTTTTTGTGCATAAAACTGATCTAAACATTAATGTGTTTGCATGTTGTACAGGTCCTTCTCAAAAAATGAGCATATTGTGATAAAGGTCATTATTTTCCATAATGTAATGATAAAAATGAAACTTTCATATATTTCAGATTCATTGCACACCAACTGAAATATTTCAGGTCTTTAATTGTTTTAATACTGATGATTATGGCATACAGCTCATGAAAACCCAAAATGCCTGTCCCAAAAAATTAGCATATCATGAAAAGCTTCTCTAAACAAGCTATTAACCTAACCATCTGAATCAACGACGTAACTCTAAACACCTGCAAAAGATTCCTGAGGCTTTTAAAAACTCCCAGCCTTGTTCATTACTCAAAACCACAATCATGGGTAAGACTGCCGACCTGACTGCTGTCCAGAAGGCCATCATTGACACCCTCAAGCAAGAGGGTAAGACACAGAAAGAAATTGCTGAACCAATAGGCTGTTCCCAGAGTGCTGTATCAAGGCACCTCAGTGGGAAGTCTGTGGGAAGGGAAAAGTGTGGCAGAAAACGCTGCACAACGAGAAGAGGTGACCGGACCCTGAGGAGGATTGTGGAGAAGGGCCGATTCCAGACCTTGGGGGACCTGCGGAAGCAGTGGACTGAGTCTGGAGTAGAAACATCCAGAGCCACCGTGCACAGGCGTGTGCAGGAAATGGGCCACAGGTGCCGCATTCCCCAGGTCAAGCCACTTTTGAACCAGAAACAGCAGCAGAAGCGCCTGACCTGGGCTACAGAGAAGCAGCACTGGACTGTTGCTCAGTGGTCCAAAGTACTTTTTTCGGATAAAAGCAAATTTTGCATGTCATTCAGAAATCAAGGTGCCAGAGTCTGGAGGAAGACTGGGGAGAAGGAAATGCCAAAATGCCAGAAGTCCAGTGTGAAGCACCCACAGTCAGTGATGGTCTGGGGTGCCATGTCAGCTGCTGGTGTTGGTCCACTGTGTTTTATCAAGTGCAGGGTCAATGCAGCAGCTATCAGGAGATTTTGGAGCACTTCATGCTTCCATCTGCTGAAAATATTTATGGAGATGAAGATTTCATTTTTCAGCACGATCTGGCACCTGCTCACAGTGCCAAAACCACTGGTAAATGGTTTACTGACCATGGTATTACTGTGCTCAACTGGCCTGCCAACTCTCCTGACCTGAACCCCATAGAGAACCTGTGGGATATTGTGAAGAGAAAGTTGAGAGACACAAGACCCAACACTCTGGATGAGCTTAAGGCCGCTATCGAAGCATCCTGGGCCTCCATAACACCTCAGCAGTGCCACAGGCTGATTGCCTCCATGCCACGCCGCATTGAAGCAGTCATTCATGCAAAAGGATTCCCGACCAAGTATTGAGTGCATAACTGAACATGATTATTTGAAGGTTGGTGTTTTTTGTATTAAAAACACTTGTCTTTCATTGGTGGGATGAAATATGCTAATTTTTTGAGACAGGCATTTTGGGTTTTCATGAGCTGTATGCCATAATCATCAGTATTAAAACAATTAAAGACCTGAAATATTTCAGTTGGTGTGCAATGAATCTGAAATATATGAAAGTTTAATTTTTATCATTACATTATGGAAAATAATGACCTTTATCACAATATGCTCATTTTTTGAGAAGGACCTGTACATACATAACAGAACCTCCCAACTCCTCCTGGTGGTCTGATATTAAAAACATACTACCAGTTTATCAACAAAATCTATTCACCCTTTCAGACACCCCTCGATTTAGTCCCAATTTAGATTGAAAACATTTCATAAGTCCACTCCCTGGAAAAATATATATTCTTAAAAAAAAAAAAAAAAAACCTTTTTATGTATTTATCAAACTCCAGTCCCTCGTCATGGCACGTAACACAGATCAGCTGTGAAACAAATCATTATTTCATAGAAAACAATATCAAAAATCAAGTTTATCATCACAATTCCACCATCTAGTGGTGTTATTTCATCATGATTTGCTCTCATAACTTTTTACAACAAATTCATTTCTATCCATGCCCTCACACATTAATTAGTTATCAATTAATCAAATCTTCAAGCAATCAATAAAAAGTAATAATTTAATATGTAGCGTACGAAATTATCTTTTTCAACCATGTTAGTTTAAGAAAACAATCACCATAACACCCCATAATACTGTAAATAAAGCATGTTAATATTTAACCCACCCCACTAGCACCCCATAATTCATCAGTCATCTTATCTCACAAAGTAGTTTGAGAAGAGCTGTCACACAGTTAATGCTAAGAGTTTAACATTCAAATGAAACACAATTGTAAAGCACACGTCTGTATTTAGTTGTTAAAATGTACCCACAGCTTAGCTTCATATTATCTGTTAATTACCCTTTTTAATCACCCCTGTGTGTGGCTTCCCTCACGTTATGTTGTACCCCACTACTAGGAAAGTCCAGTTAGTTATAACACCAAGAGATACACTTAAAACAAAAAAACCTTTTAGTCTCAAATAAAAATTTTAATTTTCTCCCCCCACATTCAAATCATCAGTTTTGGAATTAATTAACAGATAGGAAATTTGAAAGGAAATTTGTATCTCTATTCTTTCAAAATATTGCTTTATATCCATAATAGTAGTTGTTCAAATGAATGCTTCAAAGTCCCCCGAGCCATATCACCCCAAGCTTAGCTTCAGATATAATCACATCATTAACTGATTAGCATTGTAACCACAACCTATAAATATTTGTAATGTTAAACCAATGTTTTATCATATCCTGATGCTTGCTCAATGTGTTTTAGAATCATTACAGTACATGTAGACATCCCAAAAACTCTAGTCTATCTGACATCAATTATCGTTCTTTAAAAACTCTTAGCTTTAAATATAATAAAAGCAGGAAGTTCACAGTTCCAAAGCGTTTGATTGGCTAAAAATATATTTTAAACACCCTTCCACTTTTATGAAAAAGCAAAAATAGATAATAGAAACCCTTTATTTTTCTAGTAATGTTAATTTTTGATGTTAATGATATAATTTGATGTTAATAAACTGTCACAGCCAGATCAGTATGAACCTTAAAGAACCCTCAGTCATGATAAATGATAACACTCTCATTTGATGCGTGATGTTCTCAGCTCAGGGAGTAGAACCGGTGACCTTTTCATCTCTGGCACTCCACTCCATT